TCGCTCCATGGAGCCCTTCCTGTCCCTGAGGAGCGTTCCCGGTGTCACCGGTGTCCCCTGTGCCGTGCCAGGTGTGCCAGCAGCCCGAGTGTGGCAAGTGCAAGGCGTGCCAGAACATGGTCAAGTTCGGGGGCAGTGGCCGCAGCAAGCAGGCGTGTCTGCAGAGGAGGTGGGTGGCCCTGTCCCCAAGCTCCTCGTCCCCACCGGCCCTGTCCCCAGCGCCATTGTCCCCACCCCTGAGCCCCCAGTGACGTCCCCGGTGACGTTCCCGGTGACGTCCCAGGTGTCCCAACCTGGCGGTGCGGGAGGCGGACGAGGACGAGGAGGTCGACGACAACATCCCCGAGATGCCCTCGCCCAAGAAGATGCTCCAGGGCCGCAAGAAGAAGCAGAACAAGAGCCGGATCTCCTGGGTTGGGGAGCCCATCAAGGTCAGGCACCTGGGCAGGTGAGGGGGTCTGCAAAGGGGAGGGGCTTGGCAAGGTGAGGGGAACCCGTCCAGGTGAGGGGAACCTGTCCAGGTGAGGGCAACCCGTCCAGCTGAGGGCAACCCGTCCAGCTGAGGGCAACCCGTCCAGGTGAGGGGAACCCGTCCAGGTGAGGGGAACCCGTCCAGGTGAGGGGAACCCGTTCAGGTGAGGGGAACCCGTCCAGGTGAGGGGAACCTGTCCAGGTGAGGGGAACCCATCCAGCTGAGGGCAACCCGTCCAGCTGAGGGCAACCCGTCCAGGTGAGGGGAACCCGTCCAGGTGAGGGGAATCCGTCCAGGTGAGGGGAACTCATCCAGGTGAGGGGAACTCATCCAGGTGAGGGGAACCCATCCAGGTGAGGGGAACCTGTCCAGGTGAGGGGAACCCGTCCAGCTGAGGGAAACCCATCCAGGTGAGGGGAACCCGTCCAGGTGAGGGGAACCCATCCAGGTGAGGGGAACCCGTCTAGGTGAGGGGAACCTGTCCAGGTGAGGGAACCCATCCAGATGAGGTCAGAGTTGGATCTCATGGATGGCGGAGCCCATCCAGGTAAGAGGAACCCATCCAGGTGAGGGAAACCCATCCAGGTGAGGTTAGAAGTGGATCTCATGGATGGGGGAGCCCATCCATGTGAGGACCCCATCCAGGTGAGGTTAGAGTTGGATTTCATGGATGAGGGAACCCATCCAGGTGAGGCCAGAGTTGGATCTCATGGATGGGGGAGCCCATCCAGGTAAGAGGAACCCATCCAGGTGAGGCCAGAGTTGGATCTCATGGATGGCGGAGCCCATCCAGGTAAGAGGAACCCATCCAGGTGAGGGCCCCACCCAGGTGTGGCCGGTGCCCGTAACCGCCCCCGTGCCCCGGCAGAGTGACGGCAAGAAGGATTATTACCAACGCGTCTGCATCGACTCCGAGACGCTGGAGGTGGGCGACTGCGTCTCCGTGAGCCCCGATGACCCCACCAAGCCCCTCTACCTGGCCAGGTGGGTTCTGCATGTTCTTACAGGGGTGGGGACACGGGGACAACCCCACTGAGACCCTCCACCTGGCCAGGTGGGTTCTCCCATGGGTTGGGGATAGGGGGACGTCCCCAGTGATCCCACCAAGCCAGGTGGGTTCTCCAGTCTCCCATGGGGTTGGGGATGGGGGATGTCCCCGATGATCCCACCAGGCCAGGTGGGTTCTCCATTCTCCCATGGGTTTTGGGGATGGGGGATGTCCCTGATGATCCCACCAGGCCAGGTGGGTTCTCCCATGGGGATGGGGACGCTGGGACGTCCCCGATGATCCCACCAGGCCAGGTGGGTTCTCCAGTCTCCCATGGGTTTTGGGGATGGGGGATGTCCCTGATGATCCCACCAAACCAGGTGGGTTCTCCCATGGGGATGGGGACACGGGGACCTCCCTGATGATCCCACCAAGCCAGGTGGGTTCTCCCATGGGGTTGGGGACACTGGGATGTCCCAATGATCCCACCAGGCCAGGTGGGTTCTCCATTCTCCCATGGGTTTTGGGGATGGGGGTTGTCCCTGATGATCCCACCAAGCCAGGTGGGTTCTCCCATGGGGATGGGGACACGGGGACCTCCCTGATGATCCCACCAAGCCAGGTGGGTTCTCCCATGGGGATGGGGACACGGGGACCTCCCCTCTCACACCGCGGCGCCCCTCAGGGTGACGGCCATGTGGGAGGACAGCAGTGGCCAGATGTTCCACGCCCACTGGTTCTGCCCGGGCTCGGACACCGTCCTGGGGGCCACCTCGGACCCTCTGGAGCTGTTCCTGGTGGACGAGTGCGAGGACATGCAGCTGTCCTACATCCACGGCAAGGTCAACGTCATCTACAAGGCGCCCTCGGACAACTGGGCCATGGAGGTGAGGACGGCGCCGCGGGCTCCGGCCGGCGCCGGTCGGCGCGGCCGATCCCGACCGGGCCCGGTGGCTTTGTCCTTCAGGGCGGGCTGGACACGGAGATCAAGATGGTGGAGGACGACGGGAGGACCTACTTCTACCAGATGTGGTACGACCAGGAGTACGCGCGCTTCGAGAGCCCGCCCGGCGCGCAGCCCACCGAGGACAACAAGTACAAGTCAGTTTTCGGCTGGAAAAACTGCAATTTTGGGTTCTTCCCACCCCAACAAAAAAAAAAGGATTTTTTTTGGAGAACCTGGTGGTGTTCCAGCAGGTTCTGCATGAGCTGCGCGCGCCTGGACGAGGTGAGGCACAAGGAGATCCCCAAGGTGGCCGAGCCGCTGGAGGAGGCCGACGGCAAGATGTTCTACGCCGTGGCCACCAAGAACGGCGTCCAGTACCGGGTCGGGGACGGCGTCTACCTGCTGCCGGACGCCTTCTCCTTCAGGTGGCTTTGGAGACCCACCTTTGGGGTGGGATTTTGGGATTTTGGGATTTTCCCACCTGTAAACAAAGGTCTGATGTCCTGAATTTCCAGAAGTTGCGCAAAAAAAATCAGCCCAGTTTTGGTTTTCTGATGTTTGATTGGGAGATGGCTCTGGTGGGACGATCCCGGTGCGGTGTTTTGGGGGGTGAATTGGAATTTGGGAATTGCAGGATCGGAGAATTAAATTTGGGAGATCCCTCTAAGAACCCTGTGTTCCAAATTTTAACTCAGTTTTGGGGGATAAATGGGAATTATGGGATTAAGGTTCTAAAACCTCTCCAAGATCTCTTTAATTCCAACTCTTAACCCAACTTTTGACAAAAAAAATAGAATCAAGGCTGGAAAACCCCTCCAAGATCTCTCAATTCCAAATCTTCACCCAACTTTTGGTGGAAAAATTGGAATTAATGAATTATAGAACCAATTCAGGTTAGGAGGCCCCCTCAAGATCCCTCCATTCCAAATCTTCACCCAACTTTTGACAAAAAAAATAGAATCAAGGCTGGAAAACCCCTCCAAGGTCCCTCCATTCCAAATCTTCACCCAACTTTTGGTGGAAAAATTGGAATTAATGAATTATAGAACCAATTAAGGTTAGGAGACCCTATCGAGATCCCTCCATTCCAAATCTTCACCCAACTTTTGACAAAAAAAATAGAATCAAGGCTGGAAAACCCCTCCAAGATCCCTCAATTCCAAATCTTCACCCAGCTTTCGGTGGAAAAATTGGAATTACAGAATTATAGAACCAGTTAAGGTTAGGAGACCCCTCCAAGATCCCTCAATTTCAAATCTTCACCCAACTTTTGGTGAATAAATTGGAATTAATGAATTATAGAACCAATTAAGGCTAGGAGACCCCACCAAGATCCCTCAATTCCAAATCTTCACCCAACTTTTGGTGGAAAAATTGGAATCAAGGCTGGAAAACCCCTCCAAGATCCCTCCATTCCAAATCTTCACCCAACTTTTGGTGGAAAAATCCAACCCGGGGCTGGAAAACCCCTCCAAAACCCCCCCCAGCTCCACCCTGCACCGCCCCAAGCTCCCCATGGCGACGCTTTGGGGACGTTTTTGCCGATTTTCCCAGCGTGAAGCCGGCCAGCCCGGCCAAGAGGCCCAAGAAGGAGGCGGTGGACGAGGAGCTGCACCCCGAGCACTACCGGAAGTACTCGGAGTACATCAAGGGCAGCAACCTGGACGCGCCCGACCCCTTCCGCGTGGGCCGCATCAAGAGCATCTTCTGCAGCCTGCGCGGCAACGGCAAACCCAACGAGGCCGACATCAAGCTCGGCATCTACAAGTTCTACAGGTGCCCAATTCCAGGGGTTTTGGTGGGCTGGGAAGGTCTGGAGTTAGTGGTGAAAGCAGGGTTTGATCTGGTGGCCCAAACCTTTGGAGGTTCTCGGTTGACTTCTCACCTTGTTGGACCTTCCCAGTTTGAAAAACGCGCCCAAAACTGGGAGGGTTGTCCCAAACTTGGTGAGGCTGGTTGGCCTCAAAATCAGGAATTTTGTCCCCAGATCCATGAGGCTGGTTGGCATCAAAAT